TATCCAGATTTTCTGTTAAGTTGTAGTCTCTTAAGTCTTGTGTAAACGTAGATTAATGTTCACTGTCGAGACGGATTTCGGTCCTAGATGTTTTCGTAATTGTCGAAGTCATCTGTCAAGTTTGTTCCATAAGTCTAAGGATTCAACATCATTTTTCTGTCTAGGTATAGTCCTAAATATTCGACTTTAATGGAAATCGGGTCTCTTGGTTGTTGATGAAAATTAGAAGGCAGGACTTATTTTCAATGCGAACGTACACTGAGTACATTGTTTACTTTTTGCACCAGGCGAAAATTTCGATATAGCTTGGATAGGATTCGACTAGAGGACAAAATTGCTGTAGGTCCGTGTAGGCGTTGTGTAGAATTAGGGTGTAAAGGTAGGTCATCAGTATAAATGATACAAAGTAGGGACCAAAAATGCTCCCTTGTGGGACGCCTGGTTGTGTCTGTCTGAATACCGAGAACTGGCCGTACTCAGAAAATCAGAAAAAAGAATTTGTTAGAAAGCTTTGTTTGATTTTCGCAGCAACTTGATTTCAGGGTATTTTTGGTTCAGAAAACTAATACCAACTTTGTCCTTTGTCCAACAAATATTTTAACGTGTGGTGATTAGTGACCGTTAATCGATTTCTAAATAAATATTTTAACCTGATTTTGCTTGGTAGCTTGCATAAATTATGTATTTTAAGAGGTCGTTCGAACTTCATCGCCCGCCAGCGTGGTTGATTTTTACCATAGGTTAAAACTTTTTCCAGCAAGAAATAAATTTGATATTTGTTTTTGCAAATTCCAGAAAACCCCTGAAACCTCACATTATAATACTGATATAATAATAACCTTGAAATGCAAGCACATCAAAGGCAGAACACTATATTTAAATTACTTTAAACTTTAAATTAATTACACTTTTCATCTAAGGTCTGTTGAGATGAAAAAGCCACTGTCACGAGCGGGATTCGAACCCAAGACATTTGGCTCAATCGTCGCGGCTTTAACATTATTTATTTAGACTTCAGTTATTTACTTATCCATTTTTCTAAAATTAATAAAATCGTTGACATGTGTTACTTTACGTCCTCATAAGTGATAACTGAAATGCACAGTTTTGGCAGGTTTTAAAGTTCTACAGAGTAATTTGTCGATTGTCAGACATTTCAACTCAGGTCCGTCTATTTTCGCCTTGTGTTTGTTCATCGCGTGTTTCCGCGATTTCGTGATAGAACTTTGTAGCAATTAAACCACATTTAAAACTTCTGTTAATCCTGCTTCGTTAATGTATAGAATTAAATTACTCACAACTTTTATTTTATTGTCGTTCTAGCTTTGTCGAGTCTTAAAATATATGTATTTTTATAGCTGGACTGGTTAATTATATAAATTAATATAATTATAAAAGCTATACAAATAAATAATTTTCCAAGGTTTAATTATCGTGATTAAAAGTCCATTATATTTATTCAAATAACACTTAGCTTAATTAAATCGTGTAATTTGTATTAAATAATTTAAGTCAGAGAAATTTGCTAGTGTGTGCCAGTTTGAAAGGAAAAATGGATATTTTCAATTAATCAACTGAGTGATGTTTCAAGTTTAATAATAACAAAAATTTCTCTTATGTTGGTACTGAAATAGTCAGTTCACTTTCATATTTCCTAAATTTGATAATAATTTTTCTTCAATATTACAGACGAAATTAATTTTCTTAAAAGTAATTGTATAGACGGAAGTATCTCAGAACGAACGTTCTCATATAACGGAAACTCTCTTAGATGAAAATGATCCAAAACCAAATAAAAATTTAAATTCCGCTTCATTTTACCAACCCATTAGTTCGTTACCCACTCTTTCTAAATTATTCGGAAAAATATTTCACAAAATTATGATATTTCTATATGTAAGGTATTAGTTGAGATAAAAAAAGCCAGTGTCACGAGCGGGATTCGAACCCACGATCTTCGGCTAGATACGCCGCTACTCTACCGCTTGAACTATCGCGACTTCGATCCACTCGGACACCAACTTCCCATCTCAACCACACCTTTGGAATTTTATATCCTTTTTGCCATTTTTCAAATGTCGTGCAATCTATTCGATTCTCGGCGACAAATGCCAATGACAAATGGCCACGGAGAGCTTTAGTGAAGATATACTTCATTTTAACATTAAATTCACTAGTTTTCGTGGTCCGCTTGACCCATTAATATTTTTCAATTAATTAAGGTTTTTTAGTTGAGATAAAAAAGTCAGTGTCACGAGCGGGATTGGAACCCACGCCGGTGCTCTACCTCTTGAGCTATCGTGACTTCGATTATGATATATTTTGTTACTCCCATCAACATTTTACCAGATTAACAATTTGGTTTGCAATCCATCCATTACTCATCATCTTCACAGAATTTCAGATTACCTCATGTCTCGAACAGAAACTGTACGCACTGCAATGTTTTTAGGTGTCTCTCAGGGTTTTCGTAAAAAAAATTGAAATTATTTTTACCCCAGGCCTATAATGTGATTATACAATCATACCCAAGGAGAGATTTTTCGCAGTGAAGCAGGTATCGCAGTCCAACTACGCTGCCCTGAGGTACTCTCTCTCCCAGAGGATAATAGTCAGAGCCGATCTTCGGTAGACATTGAAGAATCGTTCAGTAGGAAGGAATGATTAGGTAAACGGTTTTGGAAGGATGCGCTTTAGTTTCTACAGGAGGCTTTCATGCCATACACTGTCAAAAGTTTGCGACACGTCAAGAAAAGCCCCTGTCGAAAGCCAAACTGATGGTCTGGGAGAAGGTTGGAGGAGTTGAGTGTAGGGATTAATAGTTTGAGAAGGTTCTTCTCGATATTATAGATTAGATGGTAGGAAGAAGCATTACCGGGTTCTGGATACAGGATAATATTGGAATTTATTTCCGAGCAATGGGATGTGGATGGTGTGGAGTACCGAGAAGATTAAGTTAACACGTCAAAGAGTAGTGTTCGGAATATCGAGTACACAGATCCACCAAACTAGGATAGATATCTCTTTGTGTGTTTTGGGTACAATGAATGTATTTATTGGCGCGAAAGTGAGTATGTATGGGTGGGTTGTGCAGGAATATCGAGTACTCCACAGACCCACCGATTTAGGTTAGTATTAGGCTAATATCTTTTGGAGTGAATGGGCGGAGGCACTGTTGTAATATTAAATGCCCCAGAGGCTCCGCAGTTTTTTATTTGTAAATACAGAATGATTGGTTACTGTTTGAGTGAATGTATTTATTAGTGCGATAGTAGTGTATTCATGGGTGGGTCTATGGTGGAATATCAAGTACCCCATAAACCCTCAACCTAGGTTAATATTTTAAATTAATTGTACATAATGTATGGATGTATTTATTAGCGTGAACGAGGGCGGGTCTTCAGAGGAATATCGAGTACTCTGAAACCCGCATATAGGCTAGGATGGAATGTTAGAGAATGAGATAGTTTCAGAGCCTTTTCACCACGTGTGGGAGGGCTAAAAATGTAGAAATAACGTCCCAGAACACAACCAGAAAGACCGCCAGACTTCCTACAGAAAAGCTAACGCAAAAAAAAATTAAATATATAAATAAATAAATTTTTAAAACGTGACGTGGAGGAAATGTGAGGTGCCGGCAATAGCCCAGGCAGCTAGCTGGCCGTGGGAAAAAAATACATCACCTTTACCCTCCGCTGTCCGGTCCTAGCACTCCTAGCACTTATACAATGAACCCGTTTCTCAATCCGACGAAGTTAACTATGTAGAACATACTTTTGATATGAGAAAATTTGCAATCCGCAAACACGATTAAAAAAACAGACATGTAACAAACGTTTTAATAATTAACTTTATTGCCTACAGAACCATCCAAAACCTTCGACATACACATACCTACTCAAACATTTTTGGATGTACGAGTACCACGTTTATTGATCCGACAAATATTCCAACATTCGAAGATTTTTACTGTAAAATATATTACGCCTAATTGTTTTTGCTTCTTATGTAAATAAAGACACAATTCATAGAGATATTCACATGCTTCATTTTTTTTTACCCGCCAAAACCTGTTACAAAAGTTTTCACAGAAAATTGCAAAATCTCACAAACTTAAACCATTACTTCCTGCCCGACAAATTACTTTGTCGACTCCTGGAAAAGAATATGGACAAGATTTCTTAAATTTGGCGGCTGCCAATGGCCAATTGACCAAACAACCTCTTTCAACTAATTAATCTTTATATAATGTATTGGTTGAGATAAAAAAGCCATTGTCACGAGCGGGATTCGAACCCACGACCTTCGGCTAAATGCGCCGCTGCTCTTGGCCACTTGAGCTATCGTGATATCGATCCACTCGGACTCTTAACTTCCCATCTCAACTCAACCTTTCGAATTTTCCCCCCTTTTTTCCATTTTTTAAATGTCGTGTAATATATTCGATTCTCGGCGACAAATGAAATGGCCTCGGAGGGCTTTAATGAAGATATACTTCATTTTACTTATTAAATCCATTATATTTAGTGGTCCGATTGACGAAATTACTTCTTTCAATTAATTAATCTTTATGTAAAGTGTTGGTTGAGATAAAAAAATCAGTGCCAAAAGCGGGATTCGAACCCAGGATCTTCGGCAAAATACGCCACTGCTCTACCACTTGAGCTATCGTGACTTCGATCCACTCGGACTTTCTCTATAATTATCTCTATCATTCCAGTTATTCATTGGCAAAAATTGATCAAATCTGCTAGTTGTTCATAACGCATATTTAGTTGTAGATAGAAATACATGATGTAAAATAGTGTATTAGTTTCCAGAATATATTAGCAATATTGGTATTGTGCTTGATTTTCTGCCGAGTAAACAAAAGGCTCATTCGATATGCAGAGTTATGTAATGGGAGGTTGTTTAATCGTGGCCGCTATTAAAGGACTTCGCTTATTCATTGCATTTTATTTTTTGTTTGCCCGAATCCGCCTCCGCAGGGTGTGACAGTCCTTGGTTCTTTATGTGTATAAAAAGGCCGACCCGGCTTCCGAATATTGTCAGTTATATCCAGACGATACAACTAGCACTTACTAAAAATGTTCTCCGTGAAATTCCTCGTAAGAGTTTTTTTATCTTCTAGAAAGATTTTCATATTGCAAATTTTATATTTTCCATTTTAGTTTTTCTTCGCTTTGGCCGTCGCCTGCGTTTTCGCCGTTGAAAGCGAAAGGGTGAAGAAGGACGTCCTCGTAGGTGGCTACCCATACGCATACTCAGGACTTTACTCCGGATACGGTGGTGCATACGTCCCCACCGCATACTCTGGCGTCTACGGCGGCTACCCTTATGCTGCTGGGCTCTACAGGTCCTTCGTCTATTAAAAACCCTCTCATGTTCTTCTTCCCCTTTCTTTCTACACGACACCGATTGGCTATGTGATTCTTCAAAGATTCTTCAATAAATCTTTCTCCTAAAACAAGTCTACATTTTTTTAATACCTGCCCGTTTAGAAAATTCCAACGTTAAACTATAACAACCACAGAAGTGTAAGGTAAGATTTAAATTGTTCACTGTTTGGCGAATATTCAGACACTTTTCTTGCTGGGAAGACTTTAAATTTCAAACCAAATTGATATAAAATTCAACATATCAATTTATTTGTTTTTTTGCACAAATTATACGAGAGCTGCGTCGGTTAAATCCGGTAACGTTGAACAGCCAATTTACAAATCGTGTTTGTTCCCTGCGTCCGTTTGTTTTCGCTTTAACCAGGTTAATTCAAGCGCACCCGAGATGATCATATTTGGCAAATATGTTTTCCATGGTCGAAATTACTGCATTAATTAAATCGTTTCAGTAGGCACAGTTAATTACCGAAGCACAGCATATTTACATTGTGGGCCTAGCTTCGAAGGGGGGGGGGCACTGAGCGTGGTCGGAGCTAAACTTTTGGCCAGTGAGTGATTGAGGTTGTATCTTCTTTGAGTAAAGTCCAAAAAGTTACATGCTAAAAATTCATAATTTTTTTTAATGAGGAAACATTAACGTATTTTCTTCAGAAATCAGACACAGGAAGCATATTATGGAAAAAACAAATGATTGTTAATAAATCTCAATAAAACCATCTTGGGTCTGTTTACCAAGAAAATTTCATCTTTTATCTTTCCCAAGAATAAACCAGTTATGCTAAATAGGACTATAACTCCCTTCACTAAATAAGTCACATATCTGGGCGTCATCTTTGACAAAGATTTTTCTTACAGTCAATAATTAAATAGCGATAACTGTCATTGGCAGATGTAACTTGGTCGGAACATCTTCTAAATCCAAAATTATGCACAGAGGTTGTTATTACCTGTGACAACCCAGACGAAGGCATTACAGCTAAGGATAAACTCCCTTGGATTGAGTTTCCTCAATTACTGCCAACGGAGAAGCGCCATTACTGGAGCAGTAAGAACGACTCCCAGTGTTGCCTTCGCATCTCCCACCATTATATACTTTCATCCCGGTGGTTGTATCTTCTATGGGTAAAGTCCAAAAAGTTACATCCTAAAAATCCCAGTTAATGCCGATGCTATCTGGTATACAGATATCCCTAAGATGGAGAATAGGCTAGGAGCTGGTATCTATGGAAATAAACCATGGACTAGAATTAATGTAAGCCTTCCTTACAATTCGTCATTTTCGTGCTTGTCAGGGATAGAAGATGACAAAACCCACCGATGGAAATTATGCAAAGCAGATTAGCCAATTCCTTCATTGTTGTTTCCTCTATCAACTTAATTACTTAATCAATAGTGATATTTTTAATTAAAAATATGCGAGTTGGCGACGTTGCATTTTTTATTCTAATTGCTAGATTTTTCATCATTTTTACGAGGTGTACAATAACTAGAAACAATTACAATAATATATTTAAGGTTTCTTTATATCATAGTATAAATTTATTATTGTTAATTCTTACTAATTTCCTGTCCGTAACGCGTGTAAATTTGTATAATATCTCTTTGTATAATAAAGTAATATATGTATGTTGTCCTTCCCCTTTTTTTATATTAAATTAATAAGTTCAATAAAACGGATTGGTATTTTGGTGGGCGGTATGTTGAGTTTATTGTGCTTTAATTCCAATTACCTATGGTTGCTTATGTTTTGTATGAAGAATCTTTCTCCTAAAACAAGTCTACAATTTTTGATACCTTCCCCTTTATAAAATTTCAATGTTAAACTCTAAGAATCACAGAAGTGTAACATAAGGTTTAAATTGTTCACTGTTTGCGAATATTCCGACACTTTTCTTCCTGGGAAGACTTTACATTTTCAAACAAATTGATATAAAATTCAACATGTCAATTTATATATTGTTTTGCACAGGTTATGCGTGAGCTGCGTCGGTTAAATCCGGTAACGTTGAACAGCCAATTTTAGAATCGTGTTTGTTCTCTGCGTCTGCTTGTTTTCCCTTTCACCAGGTTAATTCAAGCGCACCCGAGATGATCATATTTGGCAAATATGTTTTCCATGGTCGTAATTACTGCATTAATTAAATCGTTTCAGGAGGCACGGTTAACCACCGAAGCACAACATATTTACATTGTGGTTCAAGCCCCGACAGTTGGGCACTGAGCGAGGTCGGGGCTCCATATCTAGCCGGTGAGTTTTTTGACAAGATTTGGCACGGAGATTTAAAACGTGGACTAAAAACAAAAATATTAGCAAGACAATAGTTGAACTTTGACCTCCCACCTTTTGGAAAGACTGTTCCAAGTTAAACAACAAGACGAATACTCTGATTTATTTGAAATTAAGCACCTAACTTCCTAAACCTCGTACAGTACTTATTGAATACAAGTGACGAGGTGAACTCAACTAGATAAATTATCCATTGTAAAATCAATAAATAGTCTCATTGGACCAGTTTTAAAAAATAAATCTATTAATTTAAAATATATATATATATTTTTTCTTTTACTCAAAAATTTTTATACAGCCATTTTTTTACATTATTGCATTATCATTATTATTATTATTCAGAACTAGATATTAGGCTATTTTTATACACTTTTATACACTCACACAGTAACATTACTATTTCTAAGGAAACCGTACAACTCACGATATACTGCCAATTCGGTTGACGATAACAAAGAACCGTATACATAAGGCGGTTGTAGATTCATTTCTTTGGCATTAAAAAATCTATCGAACATATATCTTCGTTCGTTCCCGTGTTTCCTGCAGTGCATGATAATGTGTTCAAGTTCCTCGTATGTTCCAAAGTACGGTGACGTATTTATATTCAGTGTCCCTTGCAGAGTCCGTGATTGGATCGTAACCTTACCATCGTTTTGCAAAAGGCCTTGTTTATATTATTTTCTTTGCTGAACCAAGGCTCTTGTCCTACTAACGGAAACATATTGTTGTAGAATATACCTTTGTTGTTTGAAAGGTATTTGGTTTGCCAATCTATCTGCTGCTGCAACCTTAATATAGCATGCAGATCTTCTCTGGGTACAACTACATTTAAAGTGTTGCCCTTTGTGGTGGCATCTTTGTCTAGCCGATCTACGACATCACTGTGTTTGAACCCCGTATGGCCTTTGGTCCAGGTGATTACTACTTTATTCTCTTTAGACCTGATCGTTGCTGAAAGTTCAAGGATCTCGATGATAATGTAGTCCGCTATAAACAACTTTTTGTCATTACGAAGTTTTTGAACACAGCTATGACAATCTGTACATTTGACGACATTTTGGAATTGCATATCATTCACATATTTCATAGCTTCCCTTATAGCAATCAGTTCTGCACTATATATGGATAAGTACTGTGGGATTGAAAACTTTTCGCTGTAATTCTGCACGGGATCGTAAAATGCACACCCTACTAAGTCATATATCAGGACATTATAAGTCTAATAAAACAATATCGATAAAACAATATCCGAGTGGATCGAAGTCACGATAACTCAGTGGTAGAGTAGCGGCGTATTTAGCCGAAGGTCGTGGGTTCGAATCCCGCTCATGGCACTGAATTTTTTACCTCTACCAAGACCTTACATAAAAAGAATAATTAATTGAAAGAAATAAAAATAAATAAAAAATTCTAGGGAAAGTAAATGCTACAAAATTGGCAATATCCCTTTTCATTTTTGAACAGTTTTATCATTTCTGACTCTTCCTGCAGATATTCTATCTTGTGATTTGGCTTTTTTATCTCAACCAAAACCTTAATTAAATATTGATTAATTGAAAAGAACTTATTTGGACCAGAGGGCCACGGAACCTAAAAAAAATAAATATCCATTGATTTTATCACGAGTACTTAACCGTGGTTGCAAGTATATATTAGTACTGATCAGCAGAGAAAGGGAAAGATTGAGTGGGCCGGAAAAGAGCGACGGCGACTGTTGATTAATGACCGTCTGACCCTCGTGAAATATTGCTCGCAAAAACGGTTGAAATGAACCTCGCGATTGATTGGTGCCATTATCGAAGAAGAAACAATTTCGATTGAATTTCATTAAAAAGAAAGTTTTCGGAAGAAGGAAGGAAAAATTAATAGCAATACATTTACAATGAAATATTAAAAAACGTCTTGGATTTTACGAAAAGATGACCAGTTTATTAATACTTGTGTCTTCTATGAAGTTTTAGTAAGTCGAATGTTTCAAAATAGATCGAAAAAATACTATAAAACAGATTCTAAATCCTTACCTCATAACACAATTTATGTTGGTATAGAAACGTTTAATTTTAAAGTGAATGTTATTGCTGATTATATTGGAAGATGATAAAACGGGCTATTTATGATTTCAATGTCCTGCAGAAACAGGTCAAGGCGAACGTGATCATCTACGGTGGGCTCGGAATAATTTGGTTGACATCGAAAACAAACGGACGCATAGGATGATCAGTAATGGACAGACACGTTGTGCAATTAGACTTTAGTCATTACTTGATTTCTCATAGGAAAACAAACATAATTTATCTACAAGATAGAATTTTGCATTCTCTGAAACTAACTCGGTGGGTTTGTCCAATAGTACAACTAGATTTGACTAGTAGATTTTATGCGAAAGGTCGAACAGAGCCAATTTTATTACAGTGCTTTTATTCTGGGCACAAAAGAAATTCATTTTTTGGATCAGTAAAACATATTAATATTGATAAATCATAAATATATCTATGTATTTATTGATAAATAAAAAATATATCTAGCTATTTGTTTAATAAGATAAGCTAATTTAGAATATGTAACTCCCATATAAATAAAATTTAGCAAATAAAGCATAACGATTTCATAAAAAAATATAACATATTAAAATAATACATTATGTTCACTAATTTTCGTTTTCTTTTTCATTTGACTACTTAGCTTTATCAGTGTCATTATTTCAATTAATTAAGGATTTTTAGTTGAGATAAAAAAAGTCCGTGTCACGAGCCGGATTCGAACCCAAGACCTTCGGCTAGA